GTTACCTAACTGATCCAACCTATGAATCAACGGGTCATTCAAAACTTTAAATGTTTTTTTGTAATTCGCTACGGTAATAGAAGCTATAACAGTACTCAAACGGGTGCTGTAATAAGACCCCTTACAGCATCCGATGCAGTAATCAAACGGTCAATAACACTGTGGAACATTTTCGGGGTCATTGTCTGGAGGGTGAGAAATTCCAAGTTAGGATGAAAGTACTTGGCCAGTATAATAAAACCTCCAAAGAGTTTGGCGTTCTCAGGCCAAACTTTTTTTTTATGACCTTTTATATTTCTTTCCTTATCTTGATGTTTGTTTGCTTAGTTTTTCAGTTATCTATAACTCAAGAATCATTGCTGATTTCTCATTTCATTCTTCAGCAAAGACTAAGGCATAGCTAAGGCTTAAATAAGTAATTTTCATTAATATATCCATGTAAAAAATTAAGTTGGAATAATTTTATCGACTGAAATCTTCAAAAAATTGCCAAATTTCGAAAAAAAACATTCTCTTTGAAAAATAACTTCTTTACTTGAGAGTTCTACGAATTGTAATTATAAAAGTGTATTCTCATATAAGTATACAGTAATATAGTTGTACTATATTAGAGAGAGAGAGAACAATATTTATTTGGAATATAAAAATAATAACTATAACAAATACGAATAAATAAAAAAAAATACATATATAAAACAAATATAAGATAAGTCCAAAAGGGAGACCTGAGATCTGATATTCCTGCCCGAAGAGTATTGATTTTATGAAAATTAACAAAAATTAAGGCCAAACTTAGTTTAAAGAAGAACAAAGTTTATAAACAAAAACTTTAAAAAGTTCATAAACATTTCTCTAGAGTCTACGGCTTTTCGATGATGATTGTTCTGGGCTAGTGTCATTGCTATTGCAATCATCGATGTCATCAGTTTCTAAGCCACATATAATGTCAACTTGTGACTCCATTGCTGACCCTTCTGCAACTTCTGGAAATTCTTCATCATCAGGATAATCCATGTCTTCGAAGACATGTCTACTTCACCAGCAAATTTCCGCAAGTATTGCACTTGGCGACTGTTTTCCTCTGTATCTGTGATTTTTTTTTATTAAAATGAGTTTGAAAAAAAATCTCATAGATATTACCTAATTTCAAATGGCATAGCAACTTGATGGTAGCGTTCGCCTTGTTCAGATTCAGTGGCCAATTGTCTGCTGAAGTAGTCCAAATGATGATGTAAATAGTGAATTTTCAAGGACATGTGGACGCCAATTTTCGAAAACGATGTAAACATCCTTGCGACAGAAACTTAATGGAAATAAAATATGAAGCAGGTGACTGGAAATTATTTATTGACAGTTCAAAACTCAGCTTGAAAGCGGTTTTGCTGCATAAAACCAATGAAAAACCTTCGGTTGCAATCGTGTATAGTACAGAAACGAAAGAAACATATGATGCACTACAACATATTTTAAAAATGGTTAGTTGTTGCATTGCTTTGCTGTCTTCGAAGCGGCTATATAAAATATATGTGCTTTTTGTGCAATTGGGAGACAAGATTTACCGAAGACCAATATGCCTGCCACGAATGTAAACATAGAGAGCACAGCAGGTTAGAAATGGCCAATATTATTCGTGGACCTCTGGTGCCGAAAGAAAAGATATTGCCCTCCACTGCACATTACACTTGTAATTATTAAGAATTTCATCAAAACTGTCGACGAGATACAGTTTTCATGTTTTTGAAATTAATTTACTCGAGACTCAGCGAAAGTAAAATTAAAGAAGGTAGTTACAATAACATTCATTTGTTCAATTTCCTGGAAAATTCCAACTTTTCCAAACATATTTCTCATGATTTTCTATCGCAATAAATTAATTTTTTTCATCAGGCGTACTAAATGGTCCAGCTATACGAAAGCTTATTAAAAGTGACGCATTCAGCAATATTTTGCCTGAATTGGTTGCTTGGAAGGCAATTAAAGAAGTAATAGAAGACTTGTTGGGAAAGCATCGTTCTAGCAACTACGATGTTTCTGTCGCAAGGATGTTAACATCGTTCTCGATGATTGGCGTCCACATGTCCTTGAAAATTCACTATTTACATCATCATCTGGACTACTTCAGCAGACAATTGGCCACTGAATCTGATGAACAAGGTGAACGCTACCATCAAGTTGCTATGCCATTTGAAGTTAGGTAATATCTATGAGATTTTTTTCAAACTCATTTTAATAAAAAAACAAATCAGATACNAATTATTGTCGCAATTCATCTTCTTTATAAATTTATGAAAATTAGAAAAATATTTAGGGCGAAAAATCATCGTAAGGAAGGAGGAGTTACATCCCTCGACAATTTGTAGTCTTCAATTTCTTTTTCGAGCATTCAAAAGTGTATTTTCGTCCTTTTTCTTCGTATCTTCGACGCTTTAGCTTTAGTTCTGTAACCCATAGAACTGTTTGTTCAGAAGAAACAAGATAATAATTAATTTTACTTTAAAAGAGTAATTTTAATTTCAACTACCAAATTTGTAGTAGTACTTATAGTTTGATCTGCTGGTTGATTTTTTTATTACCGAGAATTACCGATAATCTGGTATCTTCTTTAAAGTTTGGGGTTTACTCAGGTTTATTCGGGTTTGCCCTTATTTTGGGTTTGTCCCTTATTACTACAAAGTAGTAATTTGGATTTAATGTTAGCACTTCGTTTTTCTTTCGTGCTTGTCACTACAGGCTATGTCTAAATTCATGTTAAGATTAGTGGTATCAAGTCCTATGTCACGTGGCTGCATGCTCTGTTATCATTGGTATAATACTTGGTACAATACAATTGCACATAGTAAGATTGTGTTTTAGACATGATTCAAAATAATTCACAGGTGACGTTGAGCTGATTGCTGCATAGCGAAAAGTTTGCCATTTTTTATGCATTGCTCTGTTTTATTAATTGCGTGCCGTATCGATGAAGTTGAAGTAAAAAAGTTAAAGTGCACTGTTTTATGAGTTTTCGTTTATCATGTTTTCTAAAATGCCAAGTGATAAAAACTCTTACCACTAATCAGAAGCTGGAAAACATCAAACGCTTGGAAAAGGGTGAAAATAGAAACGTTTTGATGAATGAATTTAATATTGGATCCTTAACTATTTATGACATTAAAAAACAAAAAGATAAACTCATGCATTTTGTTTCCAAATCTGTATCTGATAAAGTATTTTTCTAACCACACTCTTACAAAACCTATCAAAGATAGCTTGACAGTTTTATTATGTGCTATACTAACCCCTTTTGTAATTGCCACAACTAAAAAATCAAGGGCTTTTAAGAACATTAAAACTTTGTTCATGACGATGTCAAATAAAATGCCTGGATGACTGCCGCATTATTTAAAGATTTTTTTTTACACCACTTTATTCCATAGTCAAGGATCAATTTAAATAACACCAATAACAGAGTTGCTCTTTGGCGACATATTTGCAACATATTTGCTTCCAAATGTTACCTAATTGATCCAACCTATGAATCCAAGGGGTCATTCAAAATTTGAAGCTCCTATATATATATCTGATTGTGACGTGACTTGACTTTTAAAAGAAATATGATGTCAAGGATGCCGTATATGTTAGAGCACACTCTTGGTCTCGAAAAGAAGTTAATTTACAACACTGTTCGAGGAAGCTATAACCAAACGCATTCGTCGAAATTGGTTGAACACCTCAACTCAGGGATAGAGACTGATAAGAATGAATGAATCGAGGAACAACGGATGAAGCTATTTTACAAAGTGTTTTTGATCCTCAACCAGTGAATGTTGAAGAGCAAGATTTGGATAATGATGTAGAAGAGATCCAGTGAATCAGCTGGAAAGAAGCAACCGATGCACTACAGATGTTTATAACATTTCCTAGAACAACAAGCTCTATATCTGTGATGTTTATAAATGACCTTTTTTAGCTTTTGTTGTTAATTAATGTGCTATGCTACATTCTGAAATGTAAAATACTTTAGATTTTGACCTTTGTGAGAGTTTGAAAATTCTGATTTACTCAACCGGTAAACTACATATATACATATTAGCATTTATACATATTAGCCACAAAACGTCATCTTAGTAATGTACGTCTTATCGTTTTAATATCGTATCCGATATTATTTCGAAAAATAAGTTATTTATTATTTTTTTCGAGATTTACAGAATTAAAACTGGGTCTAGTTTATCATCTATGCTCAGTGTTGGGTTTCTTATATGTACTGATACTTGTATGAATGAAAACGTTTCAATAAAAATCGTAGATTATGTAATGATGAAAAAAAGGAAAAATTGTTTAAACAGTTATTTTTTATACAGGGTGTCACACAAAAAACGCCCGAAGCTGTAACTCTGTCATTTACATTTCGATTTTCATGAGCGGGGTATCAAATGAAATGGTTTCATGAATACTATGATTCATGCTACAAATAAATTTTTTCCAAGGTCATCTTCAATTTTAAGCGATTATTAACTTTTGCTTTACAAATTGCTCTATATATTTTTCTTTGCGTCATTGGATAGAGATTGTTTTTCTGAATCTACTGATGTACAATACATCCATTTTGAATGTAAGTTTAGCAGAGAAAAGACACAGATTACAGCTTGGGGCGTTTTTTGTGTGACACCCTGTATAAAGAAATCATATTAATCATACCAATAATTTAGAGTTTTACAAAATTATTGGGATTAAATGGTTTATAGAGAGCAACAAGAGAATGGCATTGTGGTATATGTTAAAATTCCTGTTTAACTCACAAACTTGTTCGACAACTTTCAAAACTGGGAGAAAAGTCTGAAGAAATCCAAGCGCATACGGCATTTCGCGGAGTAATTTTCATTATAAATAGCAATTAAACGCCCATGTTTGGATATATCGTGCTCAAGATAAGATCAAAAATAAATTAAATTCTAGAAAAAAAAGTTTTCAATCACTTGATAAAAATATTTATGGACATTAGAAAAAAAACAATAACATGGAATAAAAAAGAACATTTATTAAATCGTTAAATTACAATATCACCGCGCCACTTGTCACCTTACAATTTTTTATTATTTCTTTTTTAAATAACATCTCGATAAGCAGCGAAAAGACGCGCTTAAGTGCGATAATTTCGTAGTGCGTAGAATTTGAAATTTTTGTTATAAACATGGAAGGAATTTAAACAGGAATTTAAGTATTAAGTACATATCACAACGACGTGGAAAGCTCGCGATATACATATATTCTTTTAAAACGGCGACCGTTTTAATAATGGAAAACAGCAAATACAGGAATAAAAGCAATATAACTTTAAAAGAATGGTATGAGTTATAAAGATGTATCGAATATTTACGTAATGATTTTCTAACTACGTCTACGTTCTAAGTACCTAAAGGATAAATAATACTAATAAGGATAAAAATCAATTAAATAAGTAAATTTTAAATGGAAAGGTTTTAATAATGTAATGTTTAGGCCAAAAGTACCTTAAATTAATAAATTATTATATCTATAAAGTGTTGTGGAAGAACGAAAGTGCGTTATAGATTACGATTTAATCTCCCTTTTATCGTGTCGTTTCTGTAATTCTTTATAACCGGAGGCAAGACAAACTCACTAATCGATAAACTAGTCGTTAACGGTCGGGTAGAAAAATATAAAACTTTTTCGGAAAAAAACTCCGTTAACGTAACTAATCCGGTCAAAAATCTAAACTATTTCAACCAAAATCTACTTTAATCCCTTGTTTTGTAATCGTTTATTAATTTGGTAGACGTATTTACAACTTTATTAATTCTTATACTTTCCTTTACTTTTAATCTCATAAAAACAACTATTTATTTTATTTTACTATTTCGATCTAATTCTGTCGTTAATTTTACCGTTAATTAACCAACAACAATCATTATCATGGATTTTCGAACATGTAACGTTTTATTATGTTATTTTAACTACCTACTTGATAATGTATTATATTTTCTTTGTAGTTGGTGTTAATCGTTTTGTTACATAATTTTTTATAATACATATTTTGAGGTATAAAATAATCGCTAATATCACGGCCTCGCATTAGATACATTTGTTAATGACATGGAAAAGAGAAGCTTTATTACATTTTTTTACAGCCGTGTGTGAAAATTTCCTTTTAAGATATTCTAAAATGGTGATTTTTTTCAAACATTTACATCAGAGAGCAGTAACATTAAAAATGTTACTGCTCTAAGTCGTTATTTCAGTTTCAAATATATTTTATTCGAAATTAAACAAAATTTCCACGATAACATTAAGAAAACCCAAAAACCGAACATTTTTTAAAAACATTTTCTTTTAAACCGTGATTATCATCAGACTTTTGATTCGTAAACTGGCGAAGGCATTCTTCTTCTTACACCCTTTATATGAAAGAAGGTTCTCCACTAGGATCCTTTATGTTTCTTGCGTGGTTCTCGGCGTTTTGCTTCCGGATCGGTGGTGCTCAACAGAATTTTCAGATCTCTATAATCCAGCTGGAAGTACCATTCAAATACCGTCAAACGACCGATATTGCTCGAGAGAGCGGCTGCCATTATCTTTGTCCACAACTGTTTCAACAACGTATCCTCTTTATCTATATTAACACTTGCGCTATCCGGCGGCCTCTTCAGCGATACTCATCGGCTTAGCAGCGTGGTGCTTCAACTGTAGCTGGCACAGAAATGGGATTGGGGGACTATAAATCAGATTTACATTGCTTGTTTTTATGCTAATTGAAACACCAATGCGCCACTATTGCCGATGATTTCACCATTATTTTTTTAATGGTTGTTTTAAAATCTCCTATATCTAAATAACAACAATCGTAACCCAAAAAAGTGTAATATAAATTTAATCTTAGATATAGGATCTTTTAAATGTTAAAACATACCTCCCAAAAGAAACGATGAACCACCACAATTATAAACTATGAGAACATAAAATTACCCATCTTTATAATATTTAAATCTAAACCAAAATCCAAACCAATGTACCGCCATGCAACAAGTGTTAATACCTAGAAGAATTGGAATATGCCCTTCGTGTTTATTTATAATTATTAGTCAAAACGATCTGGAGCCGCACCTCTTTGTTAAAATCACAAGATTATAATAAAAAGATTTCCTTACCAGCATCTCATCGTCCGGTACTCTTGATATCAAGTCGAAGAGTTCGTTGTTAGGTACTGAATGCGGCCGCAGAAGTCTTCGGAAAAATTTATTTGTACCCCAAATCATCAGCAGGTATCTTATTGGCATAATGTACAAAACCACGGCTGCTGATACCAACAAAGTTATCGCAATCCATGATAAATATGGAACCGTGAAGTTAAAGGTACTATAAACAAAAAATTATAAAATTGTATTAGTATTTTTATTTTAAACTACTTAAAGATGAAACATTAGCTTTGAAATTTTGAATTCCTCCTATTGAGGATAAAAATACATAATGTGTAAACAATTAGTACTTATTTAACAATTTAATAAACATACCCTATATGACTGAACAATTACATTATTGGTAATACCTAATTTGGCAAAATCATTCCCAAGTTTCAAAAACTTACTGCGGCACACGAAATACATTATGTACATAATAAATTGACAACATGATCTGCATTGTAGAAAATCACCATGTTCAAAAATGTAAGAACATACTAAATCATCACACAGTGAAAGATATGATTAAATATCACTGTAGCACACACCATGCTGAATCACATTGCGCGAAGAGTAAACATACAAAATCTAAAGAATTTTTCCAAAGAAACCACCCTAAGAAAGTCGCCATAAGGATCAAATGCTGAATGGCTATGATGAAACCTCAAGAATGTGTCATCATCACGTCAGATGTTTGTGCCATTCCGCGTAATTATTCGCAGAAGATTTCTCTCTGGCGACAGTATTGTATGTAGTTATTGTATGTTGTTTTTGCAGGTAATGTTTAATTTTAAAGAAACTTTGACCTATAGCGGGTTAAGGAGGCATTTGCGACCCCATGTATATTAAGACTTTTCATGTTAATTTTTGATGTATTACCTGCCCTAGAAGTCTGTCAGCGGTTTTTTGAATCACCCTGTATAATAGTATCTGCTTATACTATTTTAGTATTTGATTCGGTTGCTGTTCAGAAGACCTGATCGAATGTCTAATTCTATGCATTGCAAATACTAAATATGGTAATAATTCTTCCGATGATTTATGATTATCTTCGCAGAAATGAACTAGTGTGGTGTTAATGGTTCAACTGGGTTAGCTTTGCGATGTGTATGGTGGTGTAGGTCGGCGATGTTTTTGGGCTTCTAAGTGATTTTGGAAAACTAGACCAACAAATTGAGTGCCGTAATAGGTGATTACGGTTGGGTTGGGTTCATACCACCAAGGTGCATACCATCTTCGTAATGTACACTTTTAGCAGGAGCGTCTCGGAAACTTTAAGTAAACCCACCTATTAAACGTTAATGTTGTTTACGTAATTGCTATATTCCGGAATATAACTACGAAATGACTATAACTACTGATTTGATGTGTACCACGATTTTTTTCAGGAATTCTCATTGATTTATTGGTTGATTAGACATATCCATTTCGGTCAAACTCAATCACAGTAGTCTGACAATAAATTGGGTTTTCTCAACTTCGAGAGATTCTTTTTCTCCATTGAAAAGGTTCTGTTTACAATAATAAATGCCTTTATTAGAAAATAAGCTTAATTGTACAAAAAAAAAACATACAAAAAAAAATAGGCGAGTTCCAGCTTGTACTAGTTAGTACAGCTGCTCTAACTAACCTAAGAAACAAAAAAAGAAAAACATGACTCGGCCAAAAATTACAAAGCAACAGCTAGATACAACAACAAGATTGCAAAACATGTCAGATCAGCGTTTGCCCCCATGTAGACATTGTTCAAGAAAACAAGAATATTTCTGTGTAAATTTAAACCTTCGTAGTGAGAACCCCTTGCAATTATCGTCCACCTCATTATATTTCGAAGTTATTTGAAATATGTATGATCTCTGAAACAAAGACAAACGATAGAAGGGTGGCGACAGTCTTCCGCGAAATCGCGTATTTATTCGGTGGACATCATTTCGGAAAGTTATCAGTTGGTAGAGATACTGTGGTTCCTTGCAGTTTATAATTTTATGGTATAGGCACAAACACTGCACTTTCCTACGATGATACATATTTAGCCATCCCGCATCCTTCAGTTTATAAGATATTCTGTTATATTTTCTAATTCCATATATATACCGAAGACACGAATTTTGCACTCGTTGAATACGTGTTACATCGCTAACGTCAATGCACGGATGGTAGACCTCAGCACAATAAGTGAATTGAGCCAAAACAGAGGCTTCGCACAACACCTTTTTCAGATGAATACCAAGGTAGTGTCGATGAGGAAACAACATCCTCAGATGATAATAAGCCCTGGATATACAGTTGGAGACATGCTTCTTATAGCGAAAACTGTTGTCCATAATCATACCCAAATTCTTTACCTCACTAACCAAAGGAATGTTACGCAATCTTACGCAACACTACGGACTTCTTAATCAATGCTGTCTTGAAACAACAAACTGATAGAATTTAGTAACTTGGGTTCTTCTCTAAAGACTGAGCACTGCAGAAGTTGCAACTTTGTATGGAGCCAAGCGCATTGTGTGCCATGTACAAAATAGTTCGTTACATTGGACACATGGTGAAAGGTGTATGTTGCTTTCATAATATTTATTAAGAAATTGATTATATTCTTCGCTTTCTGAAAGAATCCAGTCATCTGCTTACCGCAATAGCTCCGTGATTTAGGTTAAAAGACAATAGTTAAAAGTCTGGCGTGAAGCTCTTATACTCAATCGCATATTACTGGACTATAACAGTGTTATGTGGCGGACTACATTTTTACCTAATTTTTCAAGTTCCGATTGATTTTCACTATACAGGCTGTTTATAAAACATGTGGCAAAAATTATTCTTTGGACTATTCTAAGAATATTTTATCCTTTGATAATTTTTGAAAACCCGGTTTGCTTCGAATATACAGAATGAACAAAGATTTCAACAATATTTTATTACTAAAAATTACAAATATAAACTTCCTAATCTACAATAACTGATGAAAATGAGCACCTCCAGCTAAGTTGCAAGAATCCTCTTCTCATTGACTGCCGAACCCTTTCAAAAACACCAAGATCGTTTCTTATTGAATTACAGCCAACAGTTATATGATTTCGCAAGTCTTTCACATTTTCCACTGGAGTAGTGTAAACTAACAATTTAAGATGGCGTCATAGAAAAAAATTCAGAGGGTATAAATCTGGGAATCAGGCACGCCACAAGTGAGGTCTACCTCGACCAATCCAGCGATCTCCATATGTTACTGTCAAAAACTCACGAGCAACTCTACTAAAATTGTATACGAACATATATAGAACAATTGTATACGGTACATTTTTGATTTAGGAAAGTTTCAGCACATTACTCCATATCGTAACAATCTGCAGATGATGACTTGCCAGAGTCGTAGATCATTTCGTATGCTTACTATGTTGTACAAAATTGTCCATACCCGCACTCCTGCTTATTTTTCTGATGCCTTTCACTTTTTATTTAGCATCATATGACTTGCCCACTCGATCAATGTCGGATTATACACTCATGTTTCCAGTCCATAGTACTGAAATCTACCACAGATCTTTTACAGTACAGTCGATTGCGTTGTGGAACGATTTGCCTGCCGTTGTTCGCAATGCAGCTAGTTTAATAAGTTTTAAAAATGCCTTGAGGCACCATCTGCTATCTCTTCAACTATCTTCTTCTTGACCTATACGTGTTTGTTTTCTTCTCTAGTCTGCCTTTCATCTATATTTTACTGAATCTTTTTTGTGTCTATTTCCTTCCTTGTAGTAACTGACTGTCGATCCGTTATATAACTCAAATAAGCTCATTCGCTCAGTCGTATTAGCACATCACTTATTATTACTTTTCTGGTAGCCATAATTATTTATTTAAAATTACATATATACTGTTACCAGTTGGGTCTCTTGGAAGATATCACTTATTGCGATAAATTGATCCGTTGGCCTTGATGTCTATATTTGTTATGTATGTATATGTATATTTATAATATATAATAATAATGTAAATATTGGTTTTGAGGCAATAAACTGAATTTCTTATTGCCAATGATACATCCTCTAGAAACTGATGTAACGTTTGTTCCATAAAGTTAGAATGCACTTCGCCGGTAAGTCCTCTTTGTAGAAATACTGGTTCAACTAGCTAGTTACCTACAATTCCAATCCAAACGTTCTTCATAGCTCTCACTTAGCTCATGTCGATTTTCTTTAGCCCGATTGTATTTATTCAAAAATTCCACTCATCAGTAAAAAAAAAACAAAGTCAGTAGTTGAGGGATTTGAATCAATTTGCCTAAGAACCATTGACAGAATGCTAAACATGGAAGAAATTAGCAGGTAGAAGTGCTTGAACGTGTTGTAAATGGTATGTGTATTGTATGTAGTTTCATGTGGGGGTGAATTCCTGCACAGCACTTAGGCCACAGCGGTCCCTTGTACATCCCCATAATTTACAGTCCATTCAGGGATCAGAAAATCAGCCCAAGGATTTAAAGCACGTTAACATAGAACAGAACCATATGTTCTTTATGTTCGAAATATGGGGCCATGGTACGCCAAAAATGGATTACCTTAAGTACGCTAGGTTGGGATAGTCACAAACAATATGAGTTACAGTCTCGTCTTCCATTTCACATCCTCAAAAAGTTAGTAATCGAAATATTATTAACAGATACTTCTATTGCGGCTGCATTAGTAACTTTAAAAATATTAAAAATGGTTCTGCTGAAAATTTTGTTTCGCCCTATATCTTTGAAACAACGCGGGTTTCCAAAAATCAATAAAGGACAAAATATTCTTAGAATAGCCCAAAGAATAACCGGAATTATTGCCGAATTTTTAATAAATGCCCTGTATATGTTTGCTGAATACTTGATGCATACCAATGTAAGTTCTAAAATAGGTGAAGAGATTGGACAGCTTCATTCGAACGAACGTTTTATGGCGTCAATTATTTATTGTGTCATATTTTAATTTACCACGCCAATTCTTTTTTATGGGCTGTAAAACTGAATTTATTTTCAGGAAAATAATGATACTTTGACCTCAAATCAATGGTGTACTTTGACGATTTGATCAAAATGTTAGAAACGCTCATGTATCTCCAATATCCTTTTAATATCACAATTTTACTTACTAGAATGTTATGGCTAAGTACAAAAAGTTACAACGATTACGGTCGTAACGTTATTAATAATTATAAACTATGAAGGCTTCGATACAAGTTTGAAAGAAATAATTGATTTAGGCAACCAATTTTATATAGTAGCTGTAAGAAAAGAATGCGCATTATGTCATTTCTGGTCTGGTTTTAAATATAATATAGCTATAGAAAGCCGCTGTACGGCTACGGAATTTTACAGTTCTTTCGCAAAACCATAAAAATGAAGTCATATTAAACCCATTATATGACAAAACAGAAACTTCAATGTTATTACTATTAGATTTTTACAGTTATCATGCATTAATTAATATGTAGATACAAAATATCACAATCGCAATAGTATATAGTATAGATATTATTTATAATAAAAGTTAATACATACTTTTTTACGCTTTCGCCAAACGTAGCAATTTTTCCAATAGCATTTTGAACGCCTTGAGTAACTTCTTGTATTACTTGAAGTCGTTCTTTTAAGCTTTTCTTTTCCTCTTTCTCCTTATCGTCATCCTCGTCTTCATCTAAATCGGAATCTGCTACTTCGTCCCAAGGCACTGTTTGAGGACCTGTAATCTGTTTGACGATGTACTGTTTGAGGAAAACCAATAAACCTGCTATCGGTATCATCCACGGTTCGAAATAATAGCATAGTATTAAAAAGAACACCAACGCAATGAAGCTTTGTATTCGGGATTCCCATTCAAAACAACTCCTAAAAATGAGTTCATTTAAAAAATGATTAAGATTGATTAAGAAACAACTCACTGAAGAACTTTTCCAAATTCATAAAAATGCATAGCAATACTTTTCAATCTTAAAACATTTTTCACAAAAACTTGTCTCTTAAATTTAACTTCAGTCTGCATGTATTTTTCTTCTCTAGGATTTAAAGTTCTTATACAAGCCCTAATTGGATTCCAAATTACGGTCATTTCCAATAAAATCTGCGGCGATTGACCTTTCGCTCGACTTCTTAATTTTTTATCTTTTAAAGCGTACCATCTCTTCTCACCGTTTCGTATCCTCAATAAAGGTATCGCTATTTTTCCTAAAAACTCAACTTTATGGTCTCGATCTTCGTCGTAAACGGTCACTTCGAGGACATTATTGATGTCTTTTACGTTGAAAGTGAAGATTTTTTGCCAGGAAGGTGTTAAAGTTTTATATTCGGTTTGTGTTTGTAGTCGTGCGTTTCCTAGTTCCAAAACGCAAAATGGGTCACTTTTACCACCTAAATCTGCTGCTGCTAAACCCGTTGCCCTAAATACTTTTACCGTGAGATGACCAACGTCTTTTATATTTTGAAGAGTTTTATGCCAAGCCTAAAACAAAATTTTCAGTAAATGATTGATTAAATTTGGTTGTAATTGGTCTTACATATCTACTTAAAACTATTTCTCGTTCGTTCGGATTCTCTTCGTGAGTAGTTAAATCTGAAATGGTTTCGGAAGCTGTAGTTCCGCTTATTGTTAATAAAAGATGTATAGATCCCGCTCCATCTTCTAATTTGGTCCATATGCTGTGTGTTTTTTCTCTTTCTAAATCCATTAAATCGATTACTATCCTTCCAATAAAGTCGTCTTTTGCCCGGTCTTTATCCCAGACGGTAATTTCCAATTGTTGATCTCCATCATCGTATAGATGAAGATCAAATTGTTCCAACCATCTTGGGTTACAAGAACGCCAAATGACTCTACTTTTATATTTTTCATTTCCTAATCTAAACAAACAATAAAACAGTTCGTGTTAATTAGAACAGTTCTATATTTATTTAATTTAACCTTTTAATATACGCGAGCAACTATCAGTCCGCAAAATTTAAATTTCTAATTTTGCCCTAGCGTCATTTGTTGGGTAGCTATTTCAAATGACAATATTTAAATGAATACAAACATTCGATATTGTTCACAGGCAATAATAAAAATTCTAATAAATATTAATATTTGTGAAATGTTGTGTATACAAAACAAGTAAATAAAAGCCTGTTTAGTTATGAGTCTAAACATGTACGGCAAAACCCCAAAATTTTCTAGTTTTAGGTCTAGGGTTAGTTCTAGTTAATTGTTATTCAGTGTTGGATTGTTGCATATTTTTATTGAACTAAAAATAGAACTAGGTTTAGCCGTCTTAAGAGACGCACTGCTAAATCCGAATGTTTCTAGTTCTTGTATATTTTTATTCAACTAAAACTAGCTAAACTAAACTAACACTATACCTACAACTACGAAACATTCGGTCTAGTGTTAGTTCTAGTGTTAATATTAGTTCTAATTTTAGTTGTTGTGCAATATGGATTTAATACAAAAAAGTTGCGGACTCACAGTAGAGTGTAATTGTGTAAGTGTATATACTGGAAGGTTAAATACCTAAACTTGACGTATGGATCTGATGTTCCTGTTTCGGGATCGCACGCTAAAAGGTTCTTTCCTTCAATCAAGACAATTGTAACCACGGAACTCCAAATTTGCGATTTTAATCGTTTATTAACATCGGCAACCTTGGCATTCTTCTGGAAATACTGTAAAATAAAGATAAAATAAATTGAAAATGTTAATTTATCAAAATCGAATAATAAAAACATCATCTAAAACATCTATTTCATCATCAAATATGGTAATTGCATCTAAATCGGTTTCGTCATCTTGTGAAGTGGAAAAATCTTTATGTCGAGTAGATAAGATGGTTTTTAGAGTAACGCTATGTAATTTTTCTGGATCCTCGTCCCATTCTCGATCTAATACGTTAAAATTGCCGTCCAAATATGGTGGTAGGTCAACGTTATTTGGCAATTTTCGACAGGTAAACGGTGTTATTGGATTACGATTACAGAATCTTCTTTCATTATTAATCGCATTTTCCGGATAAATTTTGTAAAAGTTGTAATATCTTAATAAGTACTTTTCATATGCTTCCCAACAGCTTTTCTCCCTGAAGAGGCGGTCAAGGTTTGACATTGATCCGACATCTGAACAGCGAAATAAGTTGAATGGAACTAGGAATGTATCCGAAAAGGAAAAGTTTTTGAACGAAAATTACTACTAATTGTAAATTTTGAACGGTTATTTTTCTAACGTCATCCCGTTTATTTTATAACCATAGTTACTATAAGTAATTAATTGTAAATTTTATCGGGATTTTATCACGATTTTTTTACACTTATCACTTTGTTAACAATTCAAATAAAAACATTAATGATTCACGTCTCAATATATTTATCTTTAAATAAATCACGTAGATGATTACTATTATTCTATAAACACATAACAATTATTATAATCTTTATGAATCACCACCAACTAAAAACAACAAAAAAAAAAAAGATGTGTTGGACGTGTACCCGATTAATCTATTTGACTTTAACAGATGTGTTTACGAAGCGATAAAATTATCTTTATAATCAAATATTGATTTTTTCCTTCGGCGAAATGTTAACATCACAACGAACTCACGAATTTACTTTAAACTTTACGCGACATTCACGAATTATTAACTTTACCTTGACTAAACTACAAAGCAAAACTTCTAAATAAGTGATTGACTATGCAACAGAGGTGAGGCGATTTTATTTTCTTCACTACTTCACTCACCTCAGTTTTCCTCTATTTATTGATCGTAGCAATGGGATAAAGTAAAAGAAATTTATTTAAATCATGAAACATTTTGAGTAAAACAAAAATATTGTAACTTTTGTATTTGAGCTTATATTAAAGATTGTTTTAAATTTCATAATATAAGGTCAAACACCTAAAAGTAATGGTTTAATTTAATTTATAATATGTACATTTCACAACCTATTTTCGTTTTGAATATATTACAGCAAAGGGAACAGGCATTTACTAACCTTACATTACTTCTTTCTGTATTACAAATATGATAAGATTTGAGCACATATGTTGTATATCCTACTTGGAAAATAAGTTCTTAAGTTATAAATTAAATTGTAACAACGATTAAGCACATTAATTTTAATAATCAATAATTTATGTACCGTGTTTACGCAAATCTAAGATATCAATTCTACGCGGAACCTCTTTTTACGAACGATTAACACTCAGATGAACGTTACACATTTCATATGTGTTCTACTAAAACATAGAATACTACAATCCCAAAGGCGAAGCCACTATCAGGTAAAATTGAAACAAATTTACATTTTCAACAACATTTAAAACAAATTAGAAACAAAAATAAACACTTTCCAAGTCAGGTTAAGCGCAACGAAAACTAACGTTCAATATTGTTATCATTTTCATTAATACAGATTTGTAATCTATAACTAAAGTTCCTTTCAATAGAATTGTTGAATATCATTATTTATTTCTGCTATTGCTTCGTAAATTGGAACAATATCGTCACAATAACGAACTCATTCAGAAAGGCATAGTAAAATATATCTATTCTTTTCGAAATATAGAATAAGATTTCTTTTTATTTATAAAACATTCTTATTATTTTCACGTATCAGAGAAAGTAAAAACAAGTTTCCTTGAAATTTATGCAAAAATGTCTAAGACATCATTACGCGACTGATTTTTCTCGATGGACACTTAGGATAGATACACAATCCAATCTACATCATACAATTTTTTCAGCAGAAAAGCTTGTTAGCAGAAAAATCATAAAAGTAATCACCGTGTTAGCGCCATGAATTGTTAAATCTATAGGAATTTGGTTCCCTTGACAATATTGTAACAATGTGTCAGCTTCTTCACCAAGGTTTCGTATAGAATAAACTTTGTCGGCACATTATAGTTTAGTCTTCAAATATGTTGGATTCGCAGATGTTCAAGATTGCAGTTCAAACTGCTATTGTCTCCGTACAGTTGGTCTGCATTTGGATTTTCTCTATATTTTTGTCGCTGATTTATATATGTACTTTATTGGTTATTTCAATAAATTCTTGATGTATGCTTGCAAAATATGCTCACTTTCATATGAAATCCACCACCCACTAAAATTCAAACTACAATTTTGAAACTTCGGTAAAATGCTTTATTATTAACTATTATTAACAATGAAAGTTTCCGCCGAAAAAACTCAACTGTTATGTTTCCTGTACCATTGTTATCTCTAACTTTCAATATTTTCTTCCTAGCAATTAATGAATTTCTGCCCACAAAATGTCAGTTTATTTGATTGTCAAGTAGACGCCTTGTAATGCCCCCAGTGCGACGTCGTCGAAATTTTGCCCATATCAATGACTTTGATAGGGGCCGATTTATCGGTATGAAAGAGGCGGGTCTCTCATTCCAATAGATTGGGAGATGGCTGAATCGGGACCACAATATAGTTGCTAGGGTATGGTCTTTATGGTCCGAAGAAAGTATTCAGAGGCGCCGTCCTGCTGGAAGACCCGCTCGAAGAAGCAACGCACGTGAAGACCGACTCCTTAGGCGGATGGCTACCAGGGATCGATTGCAAACAACAAGGTCGATTGCTGTGAATTGGACGAGAGCTTTAAATCGACACTTGTCGATAGCAACTGTTTACAGAAGAATTTCTTCCTTTGGGCTTCATTAATACCGTCCTTACCATCGGCTTCCATTACCTCCGCATAAAGCAGCCAGACTTGCATGGTGTCAAGAACGGCAAGGGTGGGTTCATCAATGGAATGACATCGTCTTCAGTGATGAATCAAGGTTTTGTTTATGGGTTAATGATGGTCGTACAAGGGTGCAGCGACATCGAGGGGAAAGACGGAATTTAGTGTTCGTTCAAAGCCTTAACATCTAGGCTTATGGTTTGGGGGGCGATATGTGCTGGATGAAGGTCACCCCTTACGTTCATTCCAGGTACATTAATCGAACGTCGTTGCATCGACAACGTTCTGGAACCGGTGTTAGTACCTTTCATTCAGACCTTGCAAAATGCCAGTTTCCAACAGGATGCGCGTGGGGATGCAACCCACTACTAGCTTTTCTTGAAAAATGATAATTTTTGTTTTGTTTTCTTCAACTAAACTTTCATCGTTTCTTAGTCGATAATAAAGCATTATTTTACCGAAGTTTCAAAATTGTAGTCTAATTCGTAATGGGTAAGTACTGGCTACTACTTTCGTACTATGTGTTTCTTAGCATCGGGAGAATTTATGCTTACATCTTGAAGAATATTGACGATATGCCCTATTTTCTAACTATACTTTGTTGTTATGACCGTGGTGATAATGAACTTTCAATGGAAGGTTGTCAAATATTGCTGGTGAATCTAATGAGCTTTCATTGTAGTTACGTTAGTCTATGGCTTTATTGCTAGATCTTTAAGTATTTTAGTTCCCATATGACAGGTAGATTTGCTACGAATCCTACACTTTTCCCAAAATATTAAACTGTTTTTTACCCAATTATTTCTGTTCATTCTGTTGATGTTTATGAATTAGCTCATCGTTTTGGGAATCTTCTCGGTGATCTTTCATTTAAATGACATGATAGCCATTGATTTTGTGTTTGGTATTGATATTTTCATGTTATAGTGGTTGGCCATCTGATAAAATTTGTGAAGTAAGCACTGCAGATTATTAGTATTTAGTTACTATTTTGAAATCGTGTGATTTTTGTTTTTGGACAAAAGAAAGAAAGGCTGGGATAGTAATTACATCACTCAGATCGCTAATTATAATTGAGGAGCTCGGAAACAAACGTGATATTGTTCTTCAATAAAAATTATTCAGGAGCATCAAAAAACTGCAGAAGCTATAAAGAGAAATGAACCTCATTTTTGGTCTTATAGATAAATTTTCAATAAAACAGCAATAAATATGCCTAGATATATTTTGTTATCTGAAAAGAAAAATGGACAAGTCCGATTTTGATTGATAAAAATAAAACTTAAACAGCAAGTGTCTCTCTTAACGAACATTAAACAAATGTTGAAAAGCAAGAAGCAAAGCACATTACACACATTCTACAATATCTGGTTCTCCACCCAATTCTCTCCGAATTGTTTTACCAACAATGTTTTTGCATTATCCTTCTTTTTCAGGTTTAAGACATTAACTGTTGAAAATCTAATAAGTTTCGATGTAACATTAGTTTTGAGCAACGCCTTGCTTTCTTCCAACACTTCATCAGTGTTACAAACACTCAGAACCTTCAATCCGCAGTGGATATGCTGTAGGTGCGTTTTGTTCTGTATTGTCGACTTTCTTATAATATTCTTCTAATTGTTTAATGTTACATGATGCCAATCTTCATCCAACACGTAAATTATCCCATACTTTTTATAGATGTCGTGATAAGTCTTAGGAATTTTGATAAACGTTTTTTTTTTGCTGGCAAATAACTGTGCTAACTAATAGGAAAAGTTAAAATTTCTTTTGGACACTTAGTGGAAAGTGATTCTAGATTGTGTGCACCACATGCGAATTCTTGTTTTGGTCCCCAAACCCGCCAGTCATAATACGCCGGATTTCTACTCCAGATATGTCTGCAGATTCTTTCCTGGCTTTATTCTCTCTCCATAAAAAGATATGGACTTGCGAATTCTTAGTGGACATATTAGTTACAGCGAAGGCATATAAAC